TGCAATAATATCATGGAACGATAACGTTCATTCCGATAATGTTCATTCCGATGATCCGTTGGTGAGCTACGCATATAAAATATGTACATTCAGCGGAGCTATACATGTCAAACAAATATTAACCGAATGCTGCGTGAGTATCAGTCGCATTATCGACAAATTAACCAACTGCGGTTACAGTTACCCGAAATACTACTCCGCGATCACTTAATAAAGCTCGGCACAACTTCACCGAAACTGCTCTATCTACGTAATATTTTGCATGAAACGCGAATTGTGCTGGTTTTAACATTTTCAAATATATCTTGCCCCCGGCGTTACGTCATCCGACAGAGTTCTAAACTTCTGCATCGTTGAACACGGTGAAAACGTTACGTCTGTTGACGTTCGATAATGGAACATTATCAAACGCAAGCAGTACTGAAAACTCCATCGTTTACATTTAAAGACGTGCGAGCATTCTTTCCCTGCGCCGATACGCTAAACGCTATATCTATGCCATGAAATAATGACAATTGTTACGTACGCGTATGTATGGACCTGTTACAACAGAATGTAATTGTGTATTCTACACGCTGAATGAACATCGTGTGGATTGTTTAAAATAATATTTCTTTACGTTATACTATATCATTTAATGTACAACTGAAAGGGGGAATCCAACTTGGACCCGTGAAATTCATAGCTATATTCAACAATATTTCTTTTCGAAAACAATTGATTCAATAGAAAAGGAGTTTAGTTTTTCTGGAATCTATTATCTAATTTATTAGCTAATATATTCTTTTTACTAATATTATTCTACAATCTACTGTCTGAAATTAAATAAAAATAATGTAAACTTAAAGGAGAATTTAACATTCGGTAATTCCTTTAAAGTTTAGAAGAGGTACGATCTAAATTTATCATTTTTGTTAATTATGTTCGGAAAGTAATGTTGCCAATGGCGTCTCTTCCCGTTCCGATGCATTGACAATAAATTGTACGACCGTGCAAGGCTAGCACGTCACGTACTGCTCGAGCTGAGACTTTATTCATTACGTCGGAGACGTATCTGTCAAAATCGATAGTTCGAAACTACCGATCGTTCACTTACGTTGGAGTTCATGGAGTGTGTAATCGAATTTCAATTTCAATCTGTACCGAAATTTATAATTAATTGGAGCCGAACACAAGCTCGCGTTCCATTGCCAGATTTGAAAAATCAAGTCAAGCTATTGCGTTGAATTAAAGTAGCAATTATATAATTTATTGGACATTCGGATAGTTAACCCTCAGTGGCTGTAGCTATGTTTGATCGTAGCTACAGTACGGGTGTAACGATCCCGAGGTACCCGAGCTAGAAAGCCAGTGGGCCCCAACAGACTAGAACTATGAAGATAGATGCGTAAGCAAATGGAAATTAATGTGAAGAAAGAAATACCACGTTGACAGTGCTTTTCACTGAATGAGTAAAAATATTAATTACGAAAGTTAAGTGTCAAAGAAAATAAATTTAAATGGAACATTTGAACCTCAAGGAAGTTACAAAATAAATACCACAATAAATGTTTGATTATGTAGGTTCCAATAGTCTGTAAGTAAAATTTAATCACAGTAGAAATTTTCGAGACTATTAGTCTGACAGTTAACGTGTTAAACGAACGTGAAGAATAAATGTAAGCCTGGTACATTAGGTGTCGTTGTCAATTTATAGTATCGATAGAAAACTTTGATAGAAAACTTAGTTCAAGTCCAAGTAAATGTCGATAGAGTTTCTGATAGCGAAGGACCATCGATGGTCTCGATAGTACTGTCGATAGTTCTCCATCGCTACTATGTCCTCCTCTAAAGCAAACATTTTCCTCTTGTAACGACTTCGCGTCCTTATAAATAAAATTCGCTCACTCGCGTTCGGATATCAATCGAGGTTTGTTTACTGCATTCTCTAAACAGATCAAGAAAATTGTGCATGCTATTCGCATTTAATGAATTTACATTTGGTAAACGCACAGTCAGTAAAAGTACTATTTCTAGAAACGGGATTTAACAACATTAACAGAAGTATTTCGAACAATTCATCCAGATTTCGTGATAAAACAGTTGCATGTTCTGCTACATTTAAGGAACTATGATCGTAGGCGCGAAAGAACAAGAAATTTTATTTTTAGAAGTTTTATTTCACATAACAAATAATTGTGGAGCGCCAATATTTTTATGCATAGTAGTAGACATATTAAATTAATGAATACAATGTTTGTTGTTCATTTTAAATAACTTTTCTCATTGAAACAGTCACGTGGAATTTGTCCCCTTTTTCCATGGTTGACGCGATAACTTTACGTTGAATCATCCGAAAGCAAATGATCAGATCATTAAAATATAGTTTTATAACTGAATTACAGGGATTAATATTTCTAGAATCATTCAAGCGACGAACTTCGATTTTGTTTTTCTGTTTTAATTGTAAGGGATTGTTTTTGAAACTAACATTTTATTTTTGGAATTATCAGTTGGAAATTATTTGATATAAAAATCTGTCCCCATTCTGTATTCTTTCCCTTTTTGATTATATTTGTTTAATTCGCGGATGCTCTAATACTGTAGGTGAGGTACGGCAACAATGGCCGCGGGGCGCGTTGATTCAGGTAGACTGCACCGCAATAGACCTTAGCCAGATGTAATGAGAAATATCATGTACTTTGTTTCCTTTTTTAATGAAGATATTGTCATTGGGGTATTAGAAGTCCTCTATAATAAAGATAGCTTGCTACTGAATGGTGTATAACATTCAATAATAATTAGTAGATTGTGGATGTTTATGCATTTATGCCAAATGATAATCTGGACAAATCTATGAAAATATATATCAACAATAATATACATGTTAAATCGTTTAGGATGTGAGCCATACTTTCATTTATGTTTCAATTGTTCTTCTGTATCCATGAAAATATGATTTTGCATAAACATACGCAGTCTAATAATGATCTACCTTATTAATGTTTTATTAATATATAGTTGCCAAGAAATTATAAAATTCGGTTGTTCACAAGCTATATAACAAAAATAAATTAATATAACAAAATAATATCGTGATGAAAATGTTCCATATGTCTAATTCCAATGTATCTATAACAATTCCATTGGCCTCGATAACTTTAATTATTTTCCAACAATTTTTTAACGAGGTTTGTAAATTGAAATTCGTTATATGAATGTCCGGGTCCAGTAAGTTTCCGTATACTACGAAGAATTTCAAAGTACTATAAACAAACAAAGGTAGTACGTACTTCGAGTGGATTTCCTGCGTTTATTCTGCTCTAGCGAGCATGAGAGATAATGGATTTTGGAAATATAAAGCAGAATGAAAACGTCATTCAGAAAATTAATTATTAAGTTGGGCAAAGAAGAGCATTCCCTGACATAAATAGGAAATACAGTTGAGAAATTTCGCTCTGCAATTGAACGTATAATAAATCGATATAAAGAAACAAATTGTTGTAAAAATCGAAGACGAAACGTAATTGGAATCGGGCCACAGTAGCAGTAGCATTTTAAGAAAAATTAGCGAGAAACCAAATAATTATTTTTCCATAGTTAGTTCAAACGATTCAAATCGATTACGTTATAACATCTCAAACTCATCGAAGTATTATAAATGCTAAAAAATAATGCGAATAGATAAACAACGACGAACACACTTTGCGAAAACACACGTGTATAAAGAATCGAGCTTTTGGAATTCTGCTCTGTTCAGGAATGCGAGCAAATTTAATCTGTTCCAATCGGACGAACAAGCGTACGTACGGGGAAAATCTAATAAACAAATAGAAATTAAATATTTGGGGCCGAAAGTGAAACAGGGCGATAACAGTGTTTTTAGCGTGGGGATGTATAAATGCGAATGGGATCGGTAAACTGAATTTTATTGATGATGTAATAGTCTAAAATGTTTATTTGAATATTTTATTAAAACAATTTCAAGACAAATTATATCAAAACGAGAAAAATTTATTCTTGGGAACTCATTTATGATACAACGAGATAACTGCCTCAAGCACACCGCTAATAAAGTGAAGGAACGATTACTATACAATGTTTCAAAACAACCCCATACACCCCCTTAGATAAACCCTCTCAATCACCAGATATGAACCTCCATTGAACATTTATGAGGTGGGATAAAAATTGAAAATCATAACGTACGAAACAGAGAAGAGTTGAAAAACTTAATTATGGCTGTGCAGAATATTGGTCGATAAAAACAATTATGACTGAACAAAATAATATTTAACCTACTGCAACTTCAAAATTAATTTTTACTATGCAGAAACGAATGTGAGAGGAAATCAAAGCTAATGGAGTGCCACTAACTGACCACTAAAAACAAAAAGGTTGCGGTTTTAATTATTTGATGTTATAGAGTACGGTTATAGAGTTACTCGTATACATAAATAACAAAAAATCTGTTATACCAATGCTGCTAATCATACGTACAAAATTTCATGAAATCGTCTCGCTACACGGTCTATATTAAACTAATTTTTGTAATCGAATGAAAAGGTATGGTATTCGAAACATGCTACCCTTTGTCGCGCATTCTATCGGGAACAATTACTTTTTAAAGTTCAAACTCAAAGTCACTGGCACGTTTAGATGAACCTTGCACACCGCAATTTCGCAAAAGGGAAACGAAACTCAAAGCACTTTTATCTCCACTCGAAAGCTGCGATTAAGCTACACTCGTGAAATTAATTATCCGTTACGCAGCGAGTAGGGACGAATGATACTCGAAATAGAAAGTTATTTCGCAACTTTGAATCAGCCCGTGATTGAAATACCATAATCATTTCGACGCTAATAAATCGCAATGAATTTACTCGATACGTGAAATGCCTTCAATCGAGTGAACGGAAGCGTAGAGAAATTCTCGACTCGAATACCTACACTTTGTAGAATTCCAATACATATAAAACATCGAGAAATCACAATTCGATCAATTGTATTTACTGTTTCAGATCGCGACAGATTGTCCGTTGATACAAATCTCCGGAGAACAATATTTCCGGTGAAGTCTCAATTGGTCGCGGTTACCGCAAACGGAAGGAAGCAAAGAATGGGAAGCTGCGACGAAATGCGAACAATTCGTTGAATGCGAACGTACTCTGATCGTCCAGGATACCGACGTCGGTGCTGACGTTGACGACGCTGTCCTGTCGTGTCAGGAAGGTGAGCAAGGGAGGCAAAGCTGTTCTTTTTCTCTGTTGTACGATCTTTCTCTCTCTCTGTCTCTCCTCCACTTTCTACGTTCGTCGCACCGCCTTCACCCACTCACTTCCACGTTCTGTTCGTGGTTCGTCAGTGAAACGCGAGAAACAACATTGTCGGCGGAGTCAAGTTATTGGAAACTTTTCCAACAAGGGACAAACGCTGCAGCGTGAACGCTACAGTGATAGCGACACCGGTACCACGGGGTGGACTGAAGTGGTTACGAACGCCGATCAAGCTCTTATACCTAGCGTTGGAGCGCAAGCGCTCATCGAACTCCACCGCCTAGGGATGGGCTGGTACGTTTCGAAAAAGAGGTGTTGATCCTCTCCTCCCGACCGATCGACTTTTCATTGCGAGATGAGCCACAAAAATAGCTCCCTGCTAATCACTTTCGCGATAGTTGCTCGTATTATCCTTAAACGTCAAGATCGAGGATGATTTTTCGTTGTAAACGTCGATTGTCCTTACGCGGCAAAATTTCGATAGTCTGCCATGCTCGGTACTTTGGCTCTGCCTTGTTGTTGGACTGTATTTAAAATTCGGTCGAAGCGAAGATGGTAATTTAAACAGAACGATTATAGATAATATAGTAACTAAATTTATTTAAGGGGGAAGCCTATCCAAGATGGTACGAAAAGAGTGCATATTTGTGAATTTTTTGGTGACAAACGGACAATTTTCTGATAATAAGTTTTAGGGTACTTGAAAGAACATTTCTTAGTGCATGCGTTGTAATTTTTTTATTTAAAAATATCTTAAATTAATGCAGTTGCGACTTTGTCGTTGCTTACATGAGTATTCCGCGGTGATCGCTCTACCTCGGAGCTGGGTTAATCGAAATTAAAAAGATGAAGCAATTTTTGAATAATATATTAAATCATCTAAATGCTATCGAGCCACAATTTTAAAGAAATAATTTTATCGCAAAATGACGACGATTCAAGCAAGTTTTAATCCTGAAGAACGCCCATTTTTCACGTATAAAAAAATCTAGGCTAATGTTATTCAAATGTTATTCAAAAATGCTTGTGTTTTGAATTTCGGTCACCAAGTAATGCTGTACTTTTTAACGTGACTATCTCGAAACGACTACCTTAAACCTTTACGGACGAATGGGTCTCACACGTCCCATTATTTTCTAGAATGACATTAGATGTAATCATTTACAGTATTTACATCGTTACGAGTCACGATAAACAGTCAAGTGTTGTTAGGGAATCAAATATATGACAACGCATGTTTGTCGATTTTCGAACTTGCTAAGTTAAATTCGTGAAAATTTCTACAAAGTTATAATTTTATCTCGAGACTATTGGAGATTAGATAATTTAGCATTTTCCGTAGTATTTAATTTGTTAACGTCCTATCCAATTTACTTTCTTATCCTATCCAGAATCCTATTCAGATTTATTTTCTTATTGGCTCAGCTATGGAATTAATTTTTCTAGTTCTTCGATGAAAAGTCCTGTAACCTATCTCTGGGTGACGTGGGTCAACGTGTTAAAGAAGAGCCATGGTATAATAGAGAATAAATCCTTGGCCCAGGGCAAACCCGTGACATCGTTACATTAAACTTCACCTGTAAGAAATAACCCACGGGAAACGTCCCTAACGCTGCTGAAGGCGAGTTGAACGAGGTTTGGAGTACCCGTCCTCGATGGCTTGTATAACGACGAGAGGGCTAGTTATTACAATCATCGCGCCCCTGTTTGAGTAGCGCTGGGAAAAGGATAACACAGTTCAGCGGTCCTCAGACCTAAGAGGTTATAGGCTTTAAGGTCTCGGTACTCTAGTGTGCTACGTGCGGAACTTAGTCACTAATTGCTACAATACATACTCGTATGATCGTCACATAAATTGCCGTACGATGAGGGTCTCGATATTGGACATTCTACCTTTAGGCTTCATCTATTCGCTTAATGCTTATTAAAACAGTCGACGTGCGCACTCTTACTGTAACTATTGAGTTGTTTGCAATGGAATTTTATTCTTTGTTCGTAAAAATAAAATAGTTTCTTCATACAGTAGACAGTCTTCATACATATCGACAATCCAGCGTCCAATAATCCGACATTCCGTATAATCCGCTACGTATAGCTCGACCATAAACATGCTTTTCAAACGACATTTGTGTTATATTTCGAAAATTAATATCATTTATACACTGTTTGCAAGTTTCCCAGTTTATATATTTTATTCTATATATTTGCGTATTTTATTTTTGTTAATATAATAATCCAATTTATTAAACGAAGAAGCCTACCTAGGACGATCCGAAAAAGGGCTCTAGTCCTAGTTTATATACTTTATTTTATATATTTAAGTACACGTGATCCGCTGCCACAGAATAAGGGCACCTATGCGCCTACGAGATGGCAACCGAACAGACAAAACGGCAAGAATAGGTTGCCACATAGCAGGGGCATCGCTACGCCTACGAGAAGACAACCGAACCGACAAAGCGGCTACTATTGGTTGCAGCATAGCAGGGGGACCGCTGCGCCTACAATACAACAACCGATCCGACAAACCGGCTAGTATAGGTTGCCACATAGGTGGGGCACTTCTGCGCCTACGATCCAGTAACCGGATCTACAAACAGACTAGCATCGGTAGCCAACTAACAGGGACATACTCCGTTTCTCCTTGGTGACAACTAAATTTTCGTTTATTTTTGGACATTACCTGACACCCTCCCAACACCATCTAAAACCAAATAACAACTCCTGAAATCTTCTGAGACATAATAACATCTACTAACACTTTATAATGTCTCCTAACATCTCTTAACAATTTCTAGTACTTCCTAACGCCTCCTGACACCTCACACTTCTCTTTAATATCTCTTCATTTCCTGGCACATTTCCCATTAAATTCCCATCATTACCTGGCACATTTCCCTTTAATTTCCATTAGTTTCCTGAAACATTTCCCATTAATTTCCCTTCATTTCCTGGCACAATTCCCTTTAATTCCCTTTAATTTCCTGGAACAATTCCCTTTCCTTCCCTTGCCCCCTTCCTGCCCTATTTCCTACAATTTGTGCAACAATGTACAAGATATTCCTCGTGCCACCTCTTCGCAAATCATAAAATCTCCCCAGAATTCTAATACATACCAGAGGTTCTCCGTGACACTTCTTCGAGTCTCATGTTCTCCTTATATGAAAAGGTAAGTTTCGAGACAGAATTAAAAATTAAGCAACCTCTTCGAGTACTCGGTTCTCCTAATACAGAAAGGTAAGATTCGACACAAAACAAAGAATTGTGCCACCTCGTCGAGTATCATGTTCCCCTGATACAAAAAGGTAAGTTTCGACACAAAATAAAACATTGTGCCACCTCTTCGCATATCATGTTCTCCTGATACCAAAGTGTAAAATCGGGCCAAAATTTCGATATGTACCGAAAATATGACCCCTTGAATTAGGCAACCTATCCTTACAGGTAAGTCGGGCCGGTTG